CTCTGTGGGCGTCGCGTGCGACGTCGCGCCCGCAAATGGCGATGGTTCCAGGCGGCAGATGGCTGCAACAGGCACTTTGGAACCGAAAATAGTCATGACTGTCTACCGTGACGGGGTCTACATGAAGTCCGGTGCTCCACAGTCGACAAGTTAACACGAGTTAAAGGAAAGCCGCGCCTATAGCCGCGCGCGGCGGAGCGGCTAATTACGACTCTTTTGCCCGTCTCCCCTTAATACCAGCAGCCAGGTTGTCATGTTTCCCTGTGAGCATTCTAGCACGCTCAAACCCGGGGTAGGCGTCTTCAGTTGGCTTCCATGTCTCACGCACTAGATTCGGATGCGTTCAATTGTATGATATTGAGGCTGCCTACATTCTCGGACACAGGATAACAGGATAATCGCCAATAGGATAATCGGGATCGCTCGACTCTTATCTACTCCTTTGGCGCTCTTCTCCCATTATTCAATTTTGCCATTTGGCCAATTTTATACTTACACTTTCCTTTAAGCGCGCATGCCCCTAGTCTCCTATTCTTCCGCATCCTTCCTAACATCTGAGGTTGCAGGCTTGAAGCAGGGCACGTCTTTTCGTTCGGAAAAATTTTGCAAAATACAACGCCTCCGCCTTGAGGTCACTCCTCCTGGGACGACCCCCCTCCCTCCCCCTTCGACACTCCTCAACCTCCCCCAACCATCCTAGGTTCTCTGAATTCCCAACCACTTTCCTGTAGTTTTTTTCAATAATTCCTCAGTTCCCTTTCCAACCAGAAGACCGTTTAAGGGGATATATAGGCGCCTAGGCGCCTGTGAAACGGGGGAAGCCGAAAATAGTCAACAACTGAGACCCAGGAGGAGAGAGGAACCTCCCTTATCTCCGCTGACCAGATATCCTCCTCTCGCTGAGTCCTCAACCTACGTAATGTCCTGGTCTCGAAAGGGGGAGTGTGCGATAATCTAGTCGGTGGGGTTTAACTTGCACGTATGTCAACATCCGACTAGTGTGCACTGCTTTCTTCAGGTGGAATTGTGTGGAAAAAGCGCTAGGAGTTTGTGTAGTAAGGTGACCCACCCAGATGTGTGGTCCCCGCCCTTTTCACAAGTGCGGTCTGGCCGACAAGACAGGCTAAGCTAGGGCAGTGATGGTAATCCATTAACGAAAATGTTGTGTCAGGGGGACAGCTGTTTACCTCATGATATCAGCAAACAACAACATTCGGGCCGCATGCTCGGACAATTTTCTAGCCTACCGGGGTCTTACTTAGTACGTTTCCAACGTTTCTTTTCTGCTTGTTTCTTCAAAAGCTTGTCACCTAACGTCTTCTGCTTCGACCTTCAACCTCATTTCCTTTATTTTGCCGTTTTGCAGTGTACCGTTGGAAGCTCATGGATTTTTTTTGTTAGCATAGGAACCATCGCTATAACGATCGGCTTCAGAAATGAGAAGGGCGTTGTTTGCCGCGCTAAGACCTTTTTGAGCACCCCTATTTGCATCTTGAACTGAGGTAAAAAAATTATAAGATTTCCTGTGGAGAACTCATTTCTTCTGAGTTCCCTGTAGAATATCTTCCGCTTGTTTCTTTCTTGTTCTCCTTGTCAAATTTGTTAGCCTGGATATTTCCTCCAGAGATTTAATGCTCTCAGGGGTCTTGAGAACATTTTCTATTGCAACAGCTGGCTGT